AGCACACCAAATTCATTGTTTAACCATCTACCTCCTAAAATTTACAATAAACACTTCGAGGCACTTTTATAAGTTGGTTAAGGTTATTTTGATAATGATCAGCACTTATAATCGTGTCTTAGATGGGCAGATTTCTTTTTGCTTCCCTAAAAGGTATTTTATTTTGCTCAATAATTTATTGAATTTGTATGTTTGCTCATTAAACATCAGGTAAGGCCTTGTGAATCAGAAACTGGAGTCCTGTTTGGTTTTTTCGAGTTAAGAAGAGGAAAGAGAGCAGACAAAATACTGTTTATCAAAAATGCAACAATCAGAGGCCGATACAAACATCGCAAAGACGCAAAGAATGCCTATTGCTCACCAAAAATGTACTTCCCATTTAACTTAGAAAGAGATTCACTTGTAAGTTACCATGAACGCAAAACGACATTCAATAGCATGATCTAGTTAGTATACCATTAGCATAATGTGGGTGGCAAACTAAACCTCACACGTATCGTGCTGTTCAATGTTTCTTCTTTGTTTCAAAAAATCTCCCCTGATGCTCATATTTCGACACATAGGAAGTTGTCTCCTTCTTCCTGTTATTTCGTGTCATAATTTGCGACCAGTTTTCTTTGAAAATAAAACTTGGTTAAATAAGTCACAGATCTCTGCAGGCCCACGATATGACTGTGTTGTAGTAAACACTCCTTTAAGCGTCTTCGGGGAGTAAAGCCCTCTAACACTCGATAAAACCAAAACAGAGGATAATTTAAATGTAATAACGAAACTTTGCCGTGAAAAGAGCAATAAAAAAAACTAGAGCTCGGTACCTGTAAACGGTCCACAGCGATCGCAGCAGTCATTTGAAAATGCAACACACAGGCGACTCAGTGATTACGGCATTCGTTTAGTTTATTAGAGAAAGCATTGTATTTCGTCATGTTTGCTTGTTTGTTTGTTTGTTTTTTTTTCCCATAGACAAGAGAACCTTTTATCGTTTGTCTCACGATGTAAGAGTGGGGCTAATCAATCGTGTAAAGCTCTTAAAAACTTAAAAATAATGTGTAAACTTCGCCCAACTGGAATCTTTACCACGGTACTATATTTTTTTCCAAACGAAAAATTCATGAATAATATATCAATTGTTGTCAAAATTATCATTTTAACTTCTTCTGAAATAAGATCAGCGATAGGTCATATGGCTGCCATGGCTACCGTGAGTTTTGGAATTGCTTCTTTTAACCGGCTTTGGTATCAAAAATACCTCACTTGTTTGATTTCAATTGATTATTCGATTGATCCCTTTCAAGTATAATGTAATTAAGAAGTTACAAATGAATGCTGTCATCTACTTATGATTTGAAATTCACATGAAATGAACACTGAATGCGGCACCGGTGCACCATTTCCACCAGCTTTGCTATCAATCCAGACGGGATCTGGCCTTTTTTTTTTTCTGAATCGGTGATACGCTTCCTAACGATATGTCAACGGCATGTATTTTAGCTGTAGACTAATCATTTAAAGTAAGATCATCGCAGTTAGACACATAGCTTAGGTAGCTGTGAAAACGAAGCCGGATTTGTTTCATGAAAACTACTGTCTCTTGGCAACTTATGCAATGAGCCGGAATACTTGTTAAATTGGGTATTTTTTCCTCCTTAATAAAAAAGAGTGCATTGTTTTGTAAACAATTCACTGTGGGAGATCAGATGTTATTGCAAGGTCACTGGAAAAAAAAAAGAATAATTGTTATGATCCTTTTGAATTGCGCTTTGAATATTCCACAATTATTCACCAAGTGTGGTTGTCGAAATTTCAGTCTGCTTTCAATATCTGAGAACATTGCGTAGAGCATGTCTCTAACACCGAGTGGAAAAGTCCTTCACTCATAAAATACTAAACATTTCTGTGAACAATGACCTCATGTGGCTCTGTGATATAGTTCAGTTTTTCACCTGCTAGCAAACTTAATCCATAGTTTCACTGCTGACGGAAATTATGTTATGATTTTCGAGTGCCCTACTGTTTTCAATTATTTCATGGTTTTATTAAAAGCGGGCTGGTCAAGAGTATGGATTTAGTAATAACCGTGAAGTTCAAAGTTAATTGCTGAATTGTTTTCTTCCCTATAAGACGTAAAGGACCTTGAAACAATGTCTTTAATAGAAAGGACCTTTCTTGAAAATCTTCTATCGTTAGTTTTTAATTATTAGAAAAGCGTTGTTTACAAACCGTTTAGAGAGCACCAAATCTTAATTTAATCACCTTCGTACCGTTGTATGGAGAAGTCGAAATTCCCGCTTGAAATACACGTTTTCTGTCGCTGTAGTAAACTTAGAGTCAAGTTAGAATCACCTACGCCACATTCTGTTGATTTAGAAACTCAATGCAACGTCAATGAGCGACAGTATGGTGAGTGCATAGATTTTGGCACGCCACTAATAATTAAACATCCAATGACGAGCGCTGAGTATTTAAATAACCACTCTGTCTCCCATCTGTAATTAATAACGGAAAACAGTTTGGGTTGTTGTGCGATTCAGCAGCATTAAATACATTCATCGTCCGTAGCTAAGGCCATTCTAGTCATACATATCCCCTGAGAAGTATTTAAGCCGACTCGGGGAGAATGAGTGAATTTGAAAGTAGAGAAGAATGTTGTGGTTGACGACGAGGACCCATCAGTTCGATAGCAGGAATTAGCGGTTAGTTGTATCGGTTACTGTTATCTTAAGATTGCTTGAGGCCTATCCAACGGAAAACATTTCCCTTGCCCTTTATGTTTTTGTTTGCTTTATCACTTTCGACAATTTTGAGCAATGCTCAATTGAGCGTTCAAGTTGTCGCCGTTACAGTTACAGAATTGAATAACTCGTGTTCCCTCAAGTAAATATACATAAACAGTGTATACAAATTGAATGAAATTATGCCAAATTAGGGCAAGTATATAGCTGAACGTATTGACATTTCGAATTTCCTTGTTTATGATGAAATTTGCCCCAGTTTCATGAGATGGGATGGAAGTAAAGTAAGCCAAAGTCTCGCCATGTCACCATAATACATATTTAAGAAAAATAAATGCATCAAATTACTGAGGACAAGTCGCAAGCAGGTGCTGCCCGTTGAAATTTGGCGCCAATAGGAGATTGCCTAGATGTCTAAATGTCACTGTATTTTCTGTTTCGTGATGCTGGTAAACCTCAAACAAGATTATCACCTAAATATTTGGAAAAAAACAATTTGAGCAAGTCGACTTTTTCGTAAAACAACGGCAGACGTTTTGAAATAAAAAGTCGTCAACACAGCGGTGAAGCTGAAAATTGAATCGAATTTACATAAACGTGAGTCTCTTCTAATTACCTTTTGGAATCAATTTTCTCAATCTTTCGAATTTGCTCCTCGCAATGAAAGAATTTAAAAGTATAAATTTTAGAGAATTTACTGGTCGAAAGAGCTTTCTCTTCATCAGAGGATTCTTGAACTTTGCAAAAACGTACTGTAGGGGAAATGCATCACGACCGCGTAGTCGCGGGTTGCTAGACACCTCCTGATATAGCATATTTTCCCGTTACAAACCGGAGGTTTAACAGCTTTTATCATGGAAAACGCTCTAAAGATTTACCTCATTAAGACAAATGCATATGGAGTTTAAAACTTCATCAGATCGATGTCTGTCCAAGCAAAAGTAATGTTTTGTCTACTCTCAAAGGATTGCCAATTAATAAGCTGAAACCTGATTGAAAATTTGAAAGGAAGATTGAATTTAAGGTGTTAAATAAAGATGTGATTTTACGTAAAAAATCTTCAATTACCTTTAAACTTCTTTAATTCTTGAAAAGAAGAACTCGCTTACAAACCGTTATCATCCTTTGATCACTTGTTCGTAATAATGCACTCTTTGACAGACGAGAAACCCTGTTTTTCTAAGATCATCGAGTAGATGAACCGTTTCTGATTTCAGAAAGAAATATTATACACTCTATTTGTAATTAAAAGTCAGAATTAAGACACATTGGCAGTCCTGAACTAATAAATAATAAAAGAAAACCAGCCTAATTCACTTTTGTTTTCTCCATTACATAGAAAGTAAAACTCCGACAAGAACGATGAAAATAAAGGAAAGCTATATATTTTTGCACGAAATTTAACAAAATTTGCATGTAACTTATAGAAACACAGGTAATGGGGGCTTTAGGGACTGAGCGCGATATTTGATTGTTGATTAAAAGACAAATGAATTTTTAAGGCAATAGAATCGTCTCCAGATGAGAAAAAAACAAAACAAAAATGATAATTATCTCCCGCAAAATTAGAAGAAGTACACCAACACAAAGTTCATCTTGATTAAATATCTAATACAAAACCCTTCAAAAAAGACATAATAATCTAAAACTTTGTACTTTCGGCAAATCCCATGGGAGAATTGAATTAAGTAAATGCATGTTCGTTTTAGCATCTTGAGTCACAGTTGACGAAGTACTCTACATAGAAACGTCTTTTTGGCTGTCTAATATATGGTATTAGTAATATTCACGAGCCATGGCACAAGAGAACGTCTGTGTAATATTCTGTAACACTGTTCGCTTGAAAGGGAAAGAACGTGGTTAATACGTGAGGCCGATTTTGGATTATTCCTGATCTTAAATCAGTCTGTCGCTACGTTTTTTTTATCGCCGCTGAATGATTTGTTTGTGTAGTAAGCTCTATGTAGTAACCTGTTGCGTAATGCCACCATGTAAGGGCACTTAAGAACCGCTGATATATAGGAAACGTCCAAGGTAGGGATGGTTCTTTTGCAATAACATGTCACTTATGCTACCAAAACATGTCAGTGCATGAAATAGTAGCTGTCGTGCAGAAGATATTTCATACATTAGAGTTTGTGGGTGATATAGTGAATCTTACCACACGTAAAACTACTGTTGTTCATGCAATGTTCGAGATGACAATTTTTACATTACGCGGTATTCCAGGTTACAACACTAACAAATTCACTCTTTTCATTCTCCTAGAGGCTTTAGAAGGAAAGGCAGCGATGTCATATTTGCATTTTGTTGGATTTCTCTCATTTTTACGACTGTCAGGTCTATTCAGGTAATAACATGAAAATCTTCCTACGTATACTAAGAGAAATTCACTTCCATATTTTGCCTTAGCTTTGGAAAGTTTGTTTTTCAAGTTTGAACTATCGCTAACAACCAGTTAATAAACAATGGGTGATTGGTGATTGTATTTAAGGGAAATGTGAATTGACCTGGTTTGATGCGATAAATGTCAGTTACAAAGTTCATAATTACATATATTGCTCTAACTATATTCAGCCTATGTTGGTGTTTTGACGGCACTAATGATGGGTGCATAAACTCTCGACCGTTCTATAATTTATTACAATATCATTCAGATAATAGTAAATCATGATACAAATGCTAGTTTTAAAACAAACTGCTAGTTTTAAAACAAACTCAGGGTTCTATAAAGGCAGCCATATATTCAGAAACTTCTGCCACTAAACCGCTTAAATTAAATCGTTCATAAACCCGATAATTTGCATAGGAAATACAAAGAGACTTCTCAGCCCATTCAAATGAGTTTTACACCTTTTGTTTTCTATATTAATTGTGTTTCTATGGGACCAAGTTGTCGTTATTTTCAAAGGAGCAAGTGTTAAATCGGCCGTTGTTGGGTGGTTGTCATATATAAGTTCAAATTTGCATTCATGTCCAAGGAGAGAGAACTTTAGGATCAGTTTTTATCAATTTCTTTAGAGTTCCTATGCCATTAACATTGTAGACTAGACGAATACAAACTTATCCTACACATCTAACTCTTTTGAAAAGCCAACATACAGGTAATTCTTTAAAGTGATTCTTTCTCGCCATTTAAAGCAAAACTAATAAGGCCAACAAAAGAAACGTGGCAAAGAAGGGAGAAGTTTGGCATGTTTTTCTCTAAACTTAATTGATTTTTTTTTTAGCCATGGCTTGGTGATAAGGAATACCTCTAGTGCTGACGAGAGCTCTACCTCTACAAGTAAACAGCCACTTACTAAGATAGGGAATCCTTTCGAGTCTATGCTCACCACAACGTAAGTTTTTAAAAAAGAGAGCACCTCAATTTCAAGGGGTGCCATTATTTGAAATAGCTGTGATCAGACGAATTAGATTTTCTCGACAAAGGAGAAGAATGGGCTTGAAAAACAAAACAAAACAAAAAAAAAGATAGCATGTCACCTTAAAGTTGTATTTTTGTTGAAGTTCTATTTTTGTGTATCAAAAACCACTGCCTTTTCAATTCCTTTTCGTAATTCAAGTAGATTTATTGGCGATTCCTCAAAGACCAACCTAGAAATGAGGTCGATTTTCTCAATTTTATTTGCAGGGAGTCAACTATAGACTTGGCAACGCGAAAACATAATAGGAGTGAAGAAATAAAGCCAGCGAACACACCGCCATGGTAGGTACTTTCTTTCATGTAGCCGGCTATAGAATTACAAGGGAAATCAATTTTCGGGCAATTGTCTCTGATTTTAAAATAATCTCTATAGTCCCGAGGGTGTCCTCGGAAGATACATGACGTGCATTCATTCTGCTCATGGTAACAAGCTGAACTTATGTGCACTTATAAGCTCCTTACTGGGTTCAAAAGTATTGTTGTGATGTTTTTGTGAGGATTGAATTGACTAAGAGCAAATCTTGAAGTCGTTTCGACAAAATTTTCTTTTCCTCACAGGGAATACCAACTGAAGTATGAGGAATTAGTGATACCGGGAAGAAACGTTTCTGATATTCTTGAAATTGTATTTAAGAACTATGACAAAAGGATTCGTCCATTTTATGGAGGTAAATATGCTCTTTAGATAAAAATGTTACTTTGTCGCGTTCATTTATTCAATGCATGGCTGGCTCCTCAAGCAAGCAGAATAATTCGTTTTCTGTGTTCTGATTAACTATAGGAGTGCGTTAGATGGATCTGTCTAACGCCGCCCAGGTTTTCCTGCTTAGCTCCCGAAGTCGGCTTTTGTCTGTATCTGAAATCTCTTAAAACAAAGACAATCATTTGCTTCATAAATGTTTTGCAAAGAAAGGGATTGTCCAGAATTTAACAATCTTGAACCCGTTCGAGGTGAAAAACGCATCTATATCCCTTATTTGCCATCTTAGTTTCTGAAAAAATTATTTTACAACCTTATTTTACGTTTTCCCCTGTATATGATTTATGCTGTGTTTTCTTTCAGTACAAACACTCCACGTCGATTTGGACATGTTAATTCTGTCATTTGGAGAGATTAGTGAAACTAGCATGGTATGTGGCACCTACATTCGCCTAATTTAAAGAAAACCTTCATCTAAACTTCCGTTACCTTTGAAGTGAAAAAAAGGAAGAAAAATTAGTTTCGAAGAAAATACGTCCATTTTGCCTTTTTTTTGGTGCTACCCCTTTATTTAAAGTGCATATGCAATTTTCCTGTTCCTCTCTAAACAGCCGATTACTATTCATGATTATATCATATTATTTGCTCAGTGCTCTTTACTATCCTGCAGGATTTTGAGGTGGACTTATACCTTGGCCAGTTTTGGCAAGATCCACGATTAGCTTTCGGTATCAACAGAACAATTATCCTTGGGGGAATAGCATGCGAAAAGTTTTGGTTACCTGACACCTTTTTCGTCAATTCCATCGACACAAGAATACACAGGATGGTTTTCGCCAACAAGAAAATATGGATAAATCTAATTAACGGAAGCATGATGTTAAGCGCAAGGTAGTTTCAATTACATTACAAAACAAAAAACAAACACACATACAAACAAAAAAAACAAACAAGAAAAGACAACAAACAAAAAAACTTACAATTATAGCGAATTAGAAACAGTCACCACAAATAAAGCCTTTTGCTCTGCTTGGACACAGAATTTTCAGTGTTCTTTCGATGCTTTCATTAATCGAATATAAGCTGTTTGAAGTCTGTTTTCTTTCTACAATCTTTACACAACAGGTTAGTAACAAAAAATTCGTGCAAGTTGGATCTTAGGAACTACCCACTGGATGAACAGACTTGTCACCTAGCCTTTGAAAGTTGTAAGTATTCACAAGAAAAAAACTTTCATATTGGGATGAGGGCACGCCAGGGAGAATCTCTTATTATCCCTAAAACGTTTTTGCCCACTGTTTTGAACTAATCTGACACGGCTAAACTAAGTGTATGGGTTCATACCAGTTTGTCAATATCTCTCCCTTTTCCTGCGATACACTTTGACTTGACATTTACTGTTGTTACTATCATTTCGATATGGCAGTTTCGTACGAGGAAAAAGACTTGAAATACAAGTGGCGGTCTCCAGTGGAGAGTACGATCTTCATTTATGACAATGAAATGGCACAGTTCGATATTGTGAGCGCCACGAGATATCTAAAACATGCAGTGTATCACTCTGGTAAGGAAAATTTTCATGCGGTAAATAAGTAAGGCTAAGCTGTCACTAAAAGAAATATACTGCAAAGACTCTCACACAAAACATCCTAATTTGAAGCACAATAATAAAATTTTGCTTAACACATATGAAACTTAATGGTTTGGGAGGAACTGTACAGTCTGCAAAAGTGTCGAGTTATTTTAAATGTTAAACAGTAAGATGGCATGATATCACTTTGAAATGAAGCGAGATGTATCATGAAGAACACAAATCGCAAAATTACAAAGGAGAAGCGGGGATGGCAATAGAGTGTTGGCGATAATTTTGCCAACGGCTGTTTCAATATATCTTCAGGCCAATGTGCCAATTATTTTGTTGCGCACTATAGAAACAAAACATTGATATCTAGCAGACGGCTAACAATGTGACATTTTGTACTTATCAATCCATTCATGAACTGAAAATAACCAGTTACTATTTATTCCTAAACAATAGTTTTCCTTCAACAAGGAACCAACCAGAATTTTCTCTTTTCATTATGTTTCAGACATGTTCTCTGGTTTAACAGCGACTATGATATTTCGTCGACGATCTATGTACTACATTTTTCAAATGTATATTCCTTGCGTGTGTGTTGTAGCTCTCTCTTGGGTCAGCTTCTGGATAAATCACGAGGCCGTTCCCGCCCGCGTGGCACTCAGTATAACCACTGTATTGACTATAAGCTACATGCGTGGAAACGTCAATGCAGGGATGCCACGTGTTTCTTACTTAAAGTCTATCGACTACTTCTTACTTGGAGGATTTGTGTTTATATTTATGACTTTGTTAGAGTATGTTCTTGTTCTGAAGCAATCTCGCAAAATACACGCGATGAATAACACTAAGAAGGATGATTGCGAGTTAAGCCAGGATAAAGAAAATCTGGTAAGTTCACGGCCAGTTGCAACAGCAGTACACGTAAGACGCGCCCTTCTTACTTCTATCCCTCGATTCTTATAGCCGTTTTCTTTTTCCTTCGTTTGTGCTATAGAACAAACTCTCTCTATTGTAAGAACAGAGATTTATAGCCTGAAATTTCTGTCTTAGTGTCAAAGGTACCTTTTTACCAAATCGTTACTTTAAAAGCACATTTGAGTTTCTTTCATGTGAAGTCACTCAACAAAGCTGAACATCTCGAAGTCAGTAATAAGTAATGCTCACCGAAATCATTTTTGAGCTGTACGCACCTTGTGGGACAGTTGAAGGATTGCTCTGTAGGGTTATGTTGTCCTGCTATCACATATATTTTAGAGATAAATACTCAACTATATTCAAATATTTACCGAATATAAAGTGTTAACCTACCATCATTCGATGTAAGGTAGCGGTACTGTTTCACCTCATGTCTTTAAACTCCTGTTTCGTAGGACCGACGACCTCTTCTTGTAACTGTCGCATTCGACGGCAAAAGCTACAAGTTTAGACATTCTTTGGAAAACATGGAAAATGGCTTACACTCTTCTTACCCAAAAAGAAAAAGCTCCGTGCACGATCGCACACGAAAGCAGAACCTGGCAACACGCTTAAAACCCTTCTTTGTCAAGAAAGGAGTTAAAGAGAACGAAGGAGTCATACACAGAGTAAAACGCAAATTTAGGTCAGAACAAGGAGTTCACTACTTAGATCAGTATTCAAGAATTCTGTTTCCATTGGGATATGCTGCCTTTTTGACCACCTACTTCGTTATCTACATGGTGAAAAAGTAACAGTGCCTGGATGGGATGATTAATTGTACTTTGGACCTACAAAGCAAGAACAGAAAATAGTCCTATCCATTAAGCAGACGTTGGGAAGTGGTGTTAAGAGCATATACCTTGTTTGAAAGAACCCAAGTCAAATTAATTCATGCTGTCGCTTGCTTTATGACGTGTTCTCAAATGGCCAGATTCGCCGCCGTTGCTGCTCCTTTGTATGACCGTAAACCAGTTGTAAAAAGGGAGATTTATTATTAAAATTCAAGGATGATGAGAAAAGACAGCTTTGGTCTATCTGATCGAAAGCCACACTACCTCGCGCGTGGTAAATTGTATCGTAGCATTGTTATCGCATCAATAGGAATTTAAATTAGCGATGAACATAACGTGTTACTTTCTACTGTTGTAAGGCGTTCCCTAATACTTGTTTGAATAATTTTTTTGGAGATGCAGTAGTCAGATTAAGAATCAAAAGTTGTTGTTCAGTACAATTTTACTTGGATAAAAAGGCAAATTTCCATGTTTCTTTCATTATTCTTTTTTTTATATTATATAGATATATATGTGATATCTGTGACATATCGAGTGTTTGATAAGGTCATACCTCTCTGGCAAAACGATGTGAGAACTACAACTATGATGGAAAAAAAAGATTTCAGTATAGTGATATTATACAAAATTTGAAAAACGATTATATCAAATTTGAAAAGTGTAATGAATATAAGAAATTGGGAAAACTACAAAAAGGAAAACGAGAAGAGAAAAACATCTTGCAAGACCATAAGCCAATTTATACTTGATATTGTGCGTCTGGTGTAATGAACCACTTGGAGTGGAAGTGTTCTCAGTGTCATTTATGCTTTGATCTATAAGTATCCTGGCCTATCTGCCAAAAGTTAGAGAAACCTTAAAGCACCACATGCTTAGTTCATGTATGCTACAGTAAGTTCAATTTACGGGTTACAATAAAATAAATCAATTTATTCCCCTATATATGGAAGCATCAACTTAGACGCGTCTGTTAGTTCTTATAATCCCCCAAATTATCTGCGAGCCATATTGAATAAAAATGGCGCGTAAAAGCGAGCTTGAGAACAATGAAGTTACAATTCGGTAAAACAATCAATGTAATCATATTGAGCAAAATGCAAAGAGGGGAAAGGGGAGGGGATAAGGCGGGGGAGGGGAGCAGGCGAGAGAACTGGATACTATTCAACTGAAATAATCAAACCCTTCTTCAATCCATTGAAGACACCGTACAATTAACTAGCTAAGATAGTGTGCCCATCCAATACTGATCATTTATTAAATCAAAGCAAGAGACGATGAATTGTTTTGGTAATTCTTTGTCAAAAAAACATCAGTGTGAACTTAGTGCGACTAGAAACTGAGGAAATGAAATTTCGGTCTTGAAGCAAACGTCATACAAAAAGGGTTATTTGTGATAGGATCATCTCACTACTGACCAGTTAGCTAAGTTCGATTTTCAGAAAATTACCTCTTTTTCTAGAGGTTTCATCCTAGAAATGGATAGCTGAGTGTTATCATTCTGTTAGAAAACAATTTTATGGAACGGAGGGTCGTCGACTTCTTCAGGCGGATAACTAACAAAAGAGGAGAACTTCTGAAAGTTTACGTCAGATGCCAGTAAATAAGTCATTTCTGGTGAGGCACATAACATCCAAGCGTTTCATTGATCACGGCTCATTAACATTCAAAATCGTTAATACAACTGCGTTTAAAAATTCATAAGCACCTGTCATTCACAACTTGACTTGAGTAATGAAAAGTCATTGCATGATTGTAATTTTTACGAATTCAGTTTTAAGGCTTATACAAAAAAATACTCTCAAAAACCTGAGAGTTTCAGAGTCTTGATCAACCGTTTTTTGGTAATGAAATATACGCAGTGTATTACGCAAAGTCTTGGCAAATTATGATTAAGAGCAAATTTTGTTGTTTCTGAACCGTCACAGAGGTCAAATAGCGTGAGTCGGGAGACAAATGGAGCCCTGCTGTGGCATCCGGGGATTTCACTAGGCAAAAATCAGGCAGAAACTCAAATCGTTTGACACAAAATTCAAGCCGAGGTGCGATAATTCGTTTACGTCGCTTGAAAAAGAATATTACAGTCAAGGTAATCCAGTGAACGAATACGGCTAGGATTTTCCTTCGCTCATTCAAAGGTAAATGTTATTCAAGGGTTGTATTAGTTATTAAGACAAGAAAATATATAGGTAGTTCCACGTACTACGGTTCGTCGAGATCGCACCAAAGTATAATCTCTCATCTAAGTCGATGACAAAAAGGAGTAAATATTAAATCTGGGGAAAACGATTCACTTGGTGCAGAGACAATCTAACGCCCGTTGGCAGTTTTGCGGTACTTTCGCCCCAATGTTTTCATTGAAGACCTAATTCAAATAATTAGAAGTTATATAATTATGCAGAGACGCTTTGAGTCAATGTTTTAGCTGTATTTTTAAATTATTCCAAGGTGAATAGATTGTCGTATTTTATCTACAGGATTTGATGATTTTCATTAGAGGCTATATTCTAAGAGCAAATCTGCAATTATGAAAAATACGCTATTCATGATATGGTAGAAATGTGACAAATTTTATAAAATTCGTCATTGTCAAATGCTACTGCCACGAAAGAATGATAAACAAAATTTAGTCAAGGAGCCCCAACCAGATGACTTAGAATTCACGCCAGCGCTATCCCAGAACATTGTTAGCTAAACAACAACGAAAAAAGCAATTGAGAATTTCAATCTTGGAAAGTAAGATGGGCGCATAGGTCTAATTCTGTGTTTATAGACCGTAGTGAAGCCTAAAAACTAAACTCAACACAGTACAACAATTTGAAATAAGGTGAAAAATGATGAACTATGAAACAAAACAGCTCTTGCTATTTAGGATTTTGCCTAAGATTGCCAGCTAGGTATTAAACTGCAGGAGTTTTCAAACGCAGCGATAGATAATGAAAGAGTGACATACATTATTTAACCTAGTAGTTTTCAAGTGAGTTTGTTTGCTTCATTTTTTCCCCTAGAAGTCAAAACCTGCTCCTTGTGTTATACAAGATCGCATAATGAATGTTTGACCTCAGCATATTTCGTTAAAAAGCTAGGTCAAGGTAAACGTCGGGTTCCTTTCGGAAGATAAAAACACGCTTTTAATTTTTTATGCCCATTGATACCAGATTTGAATATCCTACTCATTGTATAACAATGAGTGATTGAAGTGCAATAGAACTTCGTGGAATTACTAAGACACTAATGATAAATATCTACAGAAAATAGCTGTACAAATACTTTTGTAACATTATTGTGTATGTGCATGTTTTGATGAGGCACTAAAAAACATCACGTTCTCCGTAGATTTCATTCAATCATGTACGTGTTTATTGCAGTGTATGAGACGGCCATCCAAATGCTCAAGTTGGAAATTTTTCAAGATCCAGCACTTTGAGTCCTTGAGAATAGGGAAATAATTAGAAACTCTAAAGTTCGGATATACAGGCATGTATCTCACATTATTTTACCCTGAAACGATGTCTTCACTTGTGATTTTTGAATTCTTAAATTCTTTTGAAAGCGAGAACTGACAAATGTTCCCCAGAAACTCCTTTCTTTTGCAAGTTAATTTGAGTTGACACTAAACATTATAGCATTTGGCATATGCCATCCAACGGGCTGCAATTATGACAAGAGTGGGTGATTTAATTACACAGACCACCTATACACGATTAGTTAGTTCCCTCGTTCCCCTTTTTGAAAAAAAGAGCCGAAAAGGTGGGCATCACTCGATCATGTAAACTACCTTCGCTAGAAAAGCCGCATGCCATAATGTAAACTCATGCGTAACAAAGTCCATTTTCTGATCGTCCCAGTTGGTGACGAATTGATTCTGGTATGACATAACAAGGATTCCTACAATTCCTTACTATGGCAATTATTGTGACGGGCGTGCACAGAAAGCTGTGCAGTTCCCACGAACAAAGCCTAAAACCGTGTTTCTGTCTTTTCGACATGAGCGTCACCACTGAAGGTAGTATACCTAGGCATTTATTGGCTTCAGAGACTGCTGCATCATCTTGAGTAAGGTAGAGAGACATGCTAAGGAAAACAGACACACCTTTTTAAGTGTTCAAGGCATCACCATGCGGTATCAACTGGACTCATCGAAAAGCATCTCTAGTTTCCTCTACCTTTGCAAATGCTTCCTCGATGGATTTAATAAATACTAATTAAACGTTCGTCCAAAACCCTATTTCCAGGCCTGAACGAGAAAATGGGATCCGGAAGAATACTTGCACTGACCTTACTGCTCGTCGACTGTATCGCTACAAACGTGTTGTGAGTATTTTAAATATTTAAATCGGTATGTGTGATGCGAACAAATACGACAAAAGAAGATATCCATCTCTAAAATTATCTTATGGAACAATAAACTTAAGCTTATCATTCTCGAAATGTATCCATGAAATTTTACTTCAAACATTTTCATAGGGAAATCTGTTTTCTTTCAGTCTTGTTTGTGGTTATTTACGAACACTAAAAAAGCTTAAAATAATAGAAGGAGTGATAAAATCACTTAAGATCAGTATTATTTATCAGATTTATATACCATTCCTCCCCGAAAAATTTCTTAGAAATCACCAATAAAAATTACTCTGTAACAACTAAACATTACTGATTTCATTTGAAAATAAGTGTAACTGACTTACATGTTACAAACTCTGTGGCTGTCCTTGTGATAATCAGTCTCATTTCATTTTCTTTCCTGCGAAGGTAATAACCAAGTAATCTTTAGCAAAGGTTAACTTCCACTTTTAATTTCTTAATACAAAACAAGGGACAAGCTCTCAGTAGTAAAAAACAGGACGCTTATACAGCCAGGAAGGAACATGTCTGAATTAATCAATTTGATATTGAGGAACTATGATCGCAATATGCGGCCTTTTTATGGAGGTAAGCGTTCTTTCCGATTCAGTATGTAACATGTGTCCAGTCTCAGTTCAGAGATTCAAAGACAATCGAAAAGATGCAAATAGCATAGACGATTTTATCCATTCTTAGTTAAGTAACTGACCGCCACTCACCCTATCCACCCATTTACAATTATCCACCTACCTATTCACCCACCAATCTACCTATCTACCGACTTGCCCGGCCACTAACCTCGCCTTGCACCTCACCACGTCCCTCCTCACCTAACTACTACAACCTAACCAAACCACGAGCTCACCTACCAACCTATTTGGCATGATGCTTGATATGCAACTCTTGCACCATGAAGGCACCGTGAGGCATTTATGATTTAGGGTTATTCCCCTGATTAGTGGCACGGCAGGTACGATTAGGAGCGTTGTTGCAACGCTGGTTGCCCATTAAGACTTTCATTGGTGTCCAATGTTGATACGCCAAAGGACTACAACAGTTCCTGCCTTCATTATAGTGACAGGTGTTGATGTTAAAGTGGACATTCTCATCTTATCGTTTGGGGAAATTCGGGAGGCAAATATGGTGAGTCAGCTGGTAAACTAGTGTGGAAGGTTCATGCCAAAAATAAACGTAACCAGTTACAAAAGAAAGCGCGCAAAATTTAGGTTAAATAGGAAGGGTCCAAACACCAAATTAAAAGTTATTCCAAGCCTTCAAAAAGTCAGAAGAATTCTTAAAAATATAATTTACGGTTGAGCAAAATTAAATTTCCAACATTTCATTAACCTTGGTTAACAACGAAGCAACCACACTACACTCGATTCGAACACAGTCCGAGCATATGAATCAATGACATTTGATTTTTCCTTGTCTTTTAGGAGTTTAGCATGGATCTATACCTAGGCTTGTTCTGGCAGGATCCGAGACTTGATTTAGGTCTCAACCGATCTCTAACTCTTGGTGGTGACTTTGCTGATAAATTCTGGATTCCAGACACTTTCTTCGTAAATTCAGTTCAAACCAGTGTCCACGAGACTATCCTTCCAAACAAGAAAGTTTGGGTAAACCTGAATGGAGGTCATATGATGCTGAGTGCTCGGTGCGATACCTTTTTAAACTTTTTGTGTTCTGATATCTGTATACGTTGGCCTTAGCCTATTTAAAGTGAAGACCGGAGCGAGGCATCACTTCAAACGAGGCTTTGGGGGCTCCAGGGCATCATATCTTATAGGAAACAATCTCTGGGCTCCAAAGCAAAATTTGAAACCTATTCGCTTCATGACGCACATTTAGGGGTTCCTAATCTCCAGCATTTTCCATCTCTTGGTGAGACCACAACAAGCATGACAATTTCCACCAGCAATGCTGTTCACCGCATAATTAGTGTGAGACTTTTCGATTACTTCACCAGAAACACTGCGCTACCGAGCTAATTCGTGACAAAGTCTCTATTCAGAGTGATTACAATTTTGTTCCAAGAAAGACCAGGTCTCTCTTTTTTGGTATGCATATGCATGTCTCATTTTTATTGAAAGCTTGGCGAACTAAACATAATCTGAATGTTTTCTTCACTGTATAAGTAAAATCTTACAAATCTGTTTTTATATCTCCTTAGGATGAAATCTACAGCTTCCTGTAAAATGAACTTACGGAACTATCCAATGGATGATCAAATTTGTCATTTAGCTTTGGAAAGTTGTGAGTAACACATGAGACGCTTTTATACTTTTTACTTTAGAGTCTTCATTAAATGACTCATTTTTTACCATTCTCAGCATCAAAACATGTCTTTACGAACAAACTTTCTCTCAGTTTCTTATGATAGAGACGATCTTAAATTCACCTGGAAAAAAGAAGTGGGGACTGAAGTCTATATATACGACAAGGAAATGGCGCAGTTTACTGTCATTAACGCAACGAGGAAACTCAAGCATCCATTATATCACTCAGGTGACAGATAATGAAACAGATCCTCCAGTAATGGTGTGAAAAAGACCGCACTTACGTATGATTCCGAATTTAGTAAAAGGAGTAAAAATCAAAACCGCAGCTTGATAGAGCAATAAACATACGAACATACGACTGCATGGCTAACAGTCGCAATAAACAAATCGTGAAGTTCACCAATCATAGATACACCATGCAAGTCGTTGACGAACACAACTGCGTGACGATTTAAGTAGTTTTTTGAATAACGACTGATGAATAAACTGTAGAAACGGAATTTTTAAGCACTAAAAGAACATTGTTTTAAAAAAGCCATTAAAAAAATTGTTAAATTATAACTATTTTCTTTCTCTTGCCAGAATCATTCTCTGGTCTCACAGTGACCATACACTTTCAACGTCGCACCATGTACTACATCTTTCAGATGTACATACCATGTGTATGCATTGTAGCTCTGTCGTGGGTCAGTTTCTGGATTGACCCGGGCGCAATACCAGCACGTGTTGGCCTTAGTATCACCACAGTATTGACGATATGTTATATGCTAGGCTCTGTGAACTCGAATCTGCCGCGAGTGTCCTACCTCAAAGCTATTGACTACTTTCTACTGATGTCGTTTGGATTCATTTTTCTTACTCTGGTGGAATATGTGTTTGTTCTGAGGTATTCAAGAAGAATGAAGTACGTTGGTAGTTTCTCTCCTGGTGAAAGGTCCCATGACGATTTCTCAACAGAGGATTGGGTAAGAACGGCTGTGAGAAGAGAATAAATAAAACTTCAAGTCTGCACTTTACAGTTTCACATTATGACTTGTTCAAAAAACGAGTACGTCCATGTACTTTCAATCGAAATTTCTTATGTGCCAATGAACAATTCAAAATTTCATAGCGATGGCAAGTTGTCACCGAAGGTATCAAACTTTAATACATAGTAATAAACAGAACACAAACAAAAAACAAAAACAAGATGAACATCCCACATTTCAATTGCTTGTTTTCTGTTTTAACTCTTTAACTCCCAAGATCTCATTGGTAATTCTCCTTACTGTCTGTCATACAGTTCTTGTGATGTTAGTTTGGAGAATTTGGGATTGGATCAACTTATAATCCCCTAATTGATATTTTTCTTTATTCTCATCACTAGTTTGCTTGATATTGTATTGATATTGTAAAGAGAAATTCTGTCTTCGTCACTCATGGGAGTTAAAGGGTTAAAATTTATCAAATCTTTAATCACGTTTTTTTCAAATTCTCTACTTTTTCCTCTTTCAGGCTGATAACTGTAGCAAAATGGAGATAAGAATTTGCATGGGAGGCAAATCCTACGTCTTTACGGACTCTATAGATAACGTTATAGGCTCATCCAAAGGGAGGAAAAACGGAACAATTTTCAAATATAATAGCACCAAGAGACCTATCAAAACCTGCAATCACACGAAGCCAATTTTCAGGAGAAAAAAAGAAAACGAAGGAACACTAATGGAAAAAATTAAGAAAACGTTTGGTTGTACTCTGGATGGGAATCAAATAGACAGATATTCAAGATTTATATTTCCCTTTTGCTACTCGCTGTTTTTAACGATATATTTTGTTGGATTTGTTTTTGGCAGTCAAGCTGTTCAAAATCTCCCTGAAGGAGAGATGTATTGACAATCACGAATTGCTTGCGTGATATTTAGCGAGATTCACAATGTCAAGTTCGTATCGCTATAAACTAAAGAAACCCGGAATTCAGGAGATCCGAGTTCAGGCCCCGTCTTTGGAGATCTCTTTTCTGAGACTTGTTTGCTTTCAAAGAAAACCTTTCCAGGCGGGACATCACTCTGGGGCAGGAAGAAAAGGAAGGATGAGACTGGTGATAACTCAGAATGAATCCAAATAAGCAGAATATAAGCTGGTAGTAAAACATTTAATGCTGTTTTATTTACTATTGAAATCCTGACTTATAGCATTTTTCAATAGACACAATGACCTTTTTAATCGCGAGCATGTAGTTGTTATGACATGGAATGCTTTTGTCGCGCTTCGTCCTGTGCTGAAGGATCTGTCCGTTTAGAGAAACATCATCACGGAGTTTCGGCACTTAATTTTGCACAGGCATCTATATAACACTTATTTTAAGTGACATAATCAGATTGGATGTTTCCTGCACGAGAAAAATATGACTTCAGAGGGTTCGTTACAATGTAAATTATAAATCAGCCTTTAAACCTGCATAAAATTAATCATGTAAAATACAATTGCCTTATGTATGTAAAAGCGGACGGTGGATATATTACATAGCTACAGCCGTTGTAAAACACACGGCTGGTAGAGCTGTGTACCGCCATATATTCTCCACCTACAGTGTAAATGAACAGTTGGATTTTTTATTGTCAATAAAGCTATACATTGGTTTAACTCATTCTATAGCTTTCGAAAACTTGTGACAATCATTCACTGGGCACTCTGTACAACCTGAACAGAAGTTGAGGCAGTTCGCCTGCGCCTTCGCGGTTGTTTGCGACTTGAAAAAAACAATATCGACAAGAATGCGCCCCTAAAGTTATTATTCAGGACTGCGTATACAATTGGATTACAAGCGCTGTTGGTGAACATCAGCCACTGAGCAAATAGGATGAACGAGATGAAAGGTGGCGTGAGCTGGGACAGACTGAATTCGGCATACATATAGACGATGTGGTATGGTAACCAACAGAGACCAAACAAAAGCACCACAATAACCAACATCTTGATCACCTTCCTCTGATTTCGGTTGTTAACTGAAAGGATATGATTACAAGATAAGTTACCAAAAGAAAGAAAAAACAAGAGTTTACGTGCTTGTATGCTAATCAGACAGACTTTAGTAGGTTTTGTCTTTACGTACAAAGAAAAACAAAAGATTTGTGCGAACTTGGATCGTGGCCAAGTCTTAACTAATTCTCCGACTAATTATGTTTCAATGCTCCTAATGCAGTACCCGATTAATACACCAAGGTGTGATTAAAGATGCTTAGTATTCACATCATGTTTAAGCGAGTTTACATAAAAAAAGTTCTGAGATGGTATAACTTTATAGTGGAAGAAAACAGAAAGTCTATAGAACCTAGAAAAGTATGCCTTTCAGGTTACATCAATCATTAGAGCGGAATAAAATGAAAGGCTACACACCACTTTGGGTTGTCGGCAGGGTTTTCAAGAAGTGACCGATCCGAACGTAAAGCCCACAGATGAACAATAAGGGAAGAAAATACAGCAGCAAGAACACCAGAGTTGTGTAAGCTTGCCTGGTTTTCAGATTTGGCCATTCTTCGATGCAGATCTCTCTGGCTCCTTCATTCCACCTTATGGTCTTGCTAAACACCAGCAGCGGGACAGGAATAAAAATGGAGGACACCCAAATGAGCACTATGGCTTTGTGAGCCTCACGGACGGTGAGCTTTCTTCTTGTGTATAAAACTATATGCCAGTATCGCTCAGCGGCGATGGCAACCAACGTACCCACTGAGGCAGATAAAGTTAAGCCTTGCAGGAACGGAACAAGCTTGCAGAGGGCAGCACCGAATGGCCAGTACACCAGATGACTGTATGTAACTACAGTGGGCATGTTGATGAGAGAGACTGCGAGGTCTGCCAATCCAAGATTTGCAATGAGAACGTTGCTCACTGTGGTCATGCCTGGTTTACGACTAGCGAGAATAACCAATAGATTACCTAGAACTCCAGTAACACAAATAACGCTGTAGGCTGCAATGCGTGAAAATTTAAAAACCCGGCTTTCAGCCGCAGTTCCTGATTCACCTGGGGAAACAGTGGATGGTATGTTGTAATAGGTCGTGTTACTTTCGTTGAAAATCATCGCCGCCACAGAATCCAACCTTTTAACCGAATATTTTGGGATTGGGTAGAAAAATAAGATCTTACAGTCAGAGGAAATAAATATATATTGAAAGTTTACCAAGCTGCCACCTGATATTTTGATTTTACTTGTCCTCTTCAATGAACTGTTTCCTGTTCACATGGCAGGCAGGTTTTCCTCTATAGATAAAAGCAATCTTCCGTTTGCTGACTAATATCGTTCTCAGGTTATTTCTATCATTCCTTGCACAAGCTAAAATCGATAATTCTTTTATTTTATTGTCTGATAAAGGCGAAAATCAATTTATGTCAAATGCTCCTGCTAGCATTTTGGAATTTCACATATATGTCTCAATTCCCCTGTCAATCTTCTCCCCAAGCAATCTACATTATAAAACATCATTATATAAAAGGTATGGTAGTTATTGAACGACGGCAAAGCTAAATTTTAGAGGAAATATTGTGAAGGGTAAACTTGACAGGTTAAAGTAACATCGTTGATATTTTTATCGTTAACAAAATTCAGGCCTTATCTTATCTAGATAGAGCGAGAAACCTGATGATTTTTTTTTTTAACCGTAGAGGTAACTGTTGATTTAGTCGTTCTTTTAGTGTACTATGGCTTTAGATTTGAAATAAACATCAAAAGGATAAAAAATATCGCCCTCGTGATCAAACGTTTTTCATTCACCTTTAAGAAGTTTGCTGTTCTTCGACATGGGGAGCTTCAGTTTAAAAACTAACGGAAGAGAAACAGAACTCCAATCCAATACCAAACAAATCAGATAAGGATATCTCAGCTTTTCCTATCTATTTTTATCTCTCAATAGACAAAACAGGGACAAAATGCAAAATCGCGAGAGATGTGGAAAAGGGCCGCTACACTAAGGTTTCATGATTGCGTCAAAAAAACCCAACTTTGCTCGTTGCACGAGTTGATCTTCAAAATAATAAATGTAAATGTCCACGGTAAACCATTCGGTGAAAATAAACACCTCTTTTTCCTATCCCAACCACCCTAAATCATTTACAAATGTGAGCTTCGATTGACTGCCAGCGCTAGCGACATTAGGCTGGTGTGTATGCCTTTATATTTGCCCTAAGCGCCGGTAGAAACTTGTTGATTATTCTTGCCATCCGCTGGACACACATGAAAACACTAGCAAACGTCTTTATCACCAAGCTGGCAGTGGGGAATCTTCTACTTTGTCATATCAATGTCCTCTTGGTCACGACTTTGGAACACCTTGGACACTGGCCGTTCAGAGAGCTAATGTGTAAGGAGAGGCATAAAAAAAACTATAAAATGGGAAGATTTACAAGGTATATTATGTGGTGCATTTCAAATCGGCGTTTGTAAAACTGCAAGACAATTGATAGATTGGATTAATGTTTCACTCCCTTTGAAACTAATCAAATCATTTTCTTACTCAGACATCATGATATTGTGGGTTTTTCGGTAACAATAAAATTTGCTCGATTTCATGATAAGCTCTCTTTTTTTTTTTTCGTTGTTGTTGTTGTTGTTGTTGCTGTTTCTATATTCACTTCAGTCAATTAAAACTTGCGCAAAAAATTAACTAGAGACACTTTCTGCACGTAGATATAATGATTACCATTGTGTTTACATTAGTATAAACACACGTTAACTTCAAGACTTTTTGATAAGTTCGAAAAATACAAATGATTGCCAAATTGAAACAGTGTTTACGGATTGAGTTGACGACAAAATAGGAACCGAGACAGCTCGGCTCCTATTAATAAAAATGACCCTCTTGCTTTATGTTACCTAAAAGAGACTTATTCGTTCGACTTATATTTCCAAAAGAAACAAACACTCTTTCTAAGCTATTTTTCGGGCGATGTTGCCGTTGAAAAAGCCCTTTGTGGCATAGAATGAAATATGAGAGGACCGTGGCTCAGTTTAACATAATTCCACATATTCTACGGATATTAGCTTCTCTTCGTTTCCCAAAGAAGAGGGTTATTACCTCTTTTACCAGAGGTTTACTTGGAAGAAAGCTATCTGCAGATTGCTGATGATAAAGCTAACAAACGCGCCCAAGGAAAACTATATCGACTAAGTGTTTAATATTTAAAGCAAGTCGTGATGAATTATCGCTGCTACATGTAATAGATTGGCCATGAATCTGGCAAATTATTTGTCAAAGGCAAATATGGCCTGCGCTTTTTTTTTTCCCCTGTCGGGAATGTTTCGATTTCAACACGAGGAACATTTAACATTCTACAACTATGTTCCTTTACCACATAGAGTGACTGGAACGCGTAAAATATACCAAGGTAATGCACTGTGGAGCAGGACAAAACATACGGATAAAAAGCGTAGAAAAAAAACGGCAGCATTAAATGATCCAAACTTTGATTATCTTTCCTGATTTTTACGCTTGAGCGACAAACCTTTGAGTGCTTCAGATTTGTTTGTAGATCGTAATAGCACCGTCGTGGTTTCGTTTATGTTTCGAGCACGCCTACAATGCTCAGACGAGGCCGTAGGATGTATTTTGAAAGCCAGAGGTAAAAAAAAAAACAGAAAAATTAGATGAAAGTGGAATAAATAATCCCGTATTTGATGGTTCACCATAATTATAGTGCGAGCGGATAATTTGTCCAACACAGGCCTTTTTCCTCGCCCTTAAGAAACTGAGAATACAACGCAACTTGCAAATATCCGCCCGTTTGGAAAGTTAGCCTGTGGAATTAGTGTGTTTACAAGAACTTAATCGCAGCGTTAAGAATTTGTCAATAGCGTTTGAAAGAGGACAGTGACGCACTATCATTGGTGTGAGAACTTCCTACACAAGGTTAATTTGTTTCCACAGAATATTAACACAACAGTTCTTACAACAAAGGTTTATTTTGCACTTTTTTAATTCTTAACTATACCTTTCATGACATTTCTCTGCTTAAAGAAAAAAAAGCAAAATACAAAAGACATAAATTCGATGTAGCTGTACAGTATCATAGTTTTCTTTCTAACGCCTGTTACTTAGATATAAAAAAAATTTTTTAGTTGGAAAAAAAAAACATCACACCCATAAACTAAAATGGTAAATTACATCAATTAACTAATAAAACTTCACGGTTTTCGTATGAATTTTTCAGTATTCTCAAGCAATTAGTACACTGTCAAATACCATTTATCGTATAAATGGCAGATGATCGAAAGTCTCTCGGGAAAATTACTTTGATTCATCGTAGAAAGATCGCTATCTAATTCTCAACTAAATAACGAGAAAATGTCTGATGCAAATTAAATAAGGGTTAGTTATGATTTTTTTTACGAGCTGCATAGATTCCGGATCATTTACGCTCCGCAGTGCGATTCATAGCCCTTGTGAACAAATCCTTACCGGAATAAGTCATTCTAAAATTAAGAAAAGTGCTTTCTATTTTTCTTGGAATGTTTGCGTTTTAAGAATGTTAATATTTGGTTTTCCTACTGTGCACGCTTAAACCATATTTAGCCTTTTTCACCTGGTAGATCGTTCTGTCACATATTTGCCAAAGACATATTAGATTTCTGTACCTGACAGGAGGGTTCCTTAGTTTTTAATTAAAATCCCCAGCTGAGTCCAGATAACCCGACAGCCGTGTGTCACAAAAATCACATCTTCGGCTGCCATGCAAATTAACAGCACAAAATTAATTGACAATTCAAGATCTCTCTTGTACGGATGTCAATTTACTTAATGAAGTTGAACAGGATGCAAAAACAAATCTTCAATATCAACCACGACCAAAGATTAAATAATCTGTTTTCGTTCTTTTCTTTCTCTTTTCTTTTTTCTTTTCGTTAATATTTAATCAAAGCATTGAATCAAAAACGTTTAGGGATAGTTTTGCGAAGTTATGAAGAAATTTCGAAATAAAGAATAGTTGATTTTTCTGACGGGATTCCTTCCTGTTGACAATAAATAAAAATCGGGAATATGCCACATATAGTTCGCTGTAGATTCTGAACACTGATCAAACAACAGCTGGAACATTATCAAATTACGCAGTTTAATTCACTGAAAGACTTTAAATAAATTGAGGCGAGAAATCTAAGGCATAAATGACAACACAAAAAATTGCTTTTGAAAATAAAAAGAAAAAATTTAGAAGTTATTTTATTCATTTTATCTTTCAGTCCACTCCTTAATTTGTTATGGTATTAAATTAAATTCTGACAGTTTCACCGGCTTATCGTTTCGGAAGTGATTACTTGAAAGAATGTCCATCCTTTATTGACAGAGATATAAATAGTATTTAGTATTATTACCTTCGAAGAAAGTACCTTTCTTAATGATGGCAAACTAAAATGGATTGCTAAAATTAAATGCGGTAACTCCATGAGTTAGCCTTTTTTTTTCTTTTTTTTTTTCCTTCCTGATTTATACGTTCCTTTCGCAGAATGTCTAAGACTCTTCCTGGGGGCAGGATATTACTGTGACAAACATCAAATCAATTCTATTTTACGTATGTAAACATTTCAAGAACTAGTCGGAGGTTTCTCTGATTTGAATCATTGATAAACTTCCACCCTGACTGATGTAGGTTACCCAGCAAAAGTTGGCTAGCTAAACCAAAACAAAAAGAAAACGTACTTCTAATTAGTATTTGATATTAATTTTTCACCAGCATACTTTGCTAAGCGGCATTTCATGTAATCGCAAATTTATACTTAAACTGCAAAATCATATCTAAGATTGAACTGGTGATTAATATATTTTTTAGATTTTCAACGTGAAGAGCAGTTTACAGTCAATGTTTGGCTGAGTAGAGCGCACCACAAAGATGCTTAAATGTACGTCCGTGAGATCTTTATGATCTAAGAAAGGAAATCCAACACCTCTTGGTTTAAACGATAACAAAGGACAGCATTGAGTGTCACAACGAGCTTCGAATCTTATGAATATTGCCTCGTGCTTGAATTTACATTTAATCTCTTCTTTTTTTTTTTGCTTTATCAGTACCATTCTTTCAAAACTGAACAGCACTTGACAATACTCTTCTTCACAAGGACCACTTGTTTTACAACGCCAGTCTCCTATTAAACTTTAATCCGTCGAAGGTTTAGGCGGTTGGTTATGACATGTCTACATAATTCATATCTCAAAGTATCTTCTGCGGTGACTTAGTTTTTTGTGAAAGATAATATCATACTAAGTAATAAATGAAATATTTCTCTTTGATATATGGATGTCTTTTTACAGTTTTTTTCTCCGCGCCGCCGCTAAATAAATAATTTACACAGAAAAAAGCATGATGCCACGAACAGATAAGTGAAAGTGTTTTATGCACTGTCTGCGGATTACTGGCTCCGTAAAAGGAAGTAAGAAATCAGTTAACACCATTAACAACGTTGAACTCTCAGGAAAGTGCATTTCAAATATCTATTAAAGGGATCTGCCGAAACCAAAAGCTTTCAAGGAGATTCAGCTCCTGAAGAAACAAAATAGTGGTCACGGAAGAGAGAAGTAATTTTGGAATGGCCAGGGCTTGAAAATAATAATTTTAACTAAAGCAAGCTCTATAATGAGCGATTATTGTCGGAGCTTCATCCGGAAGGCCATATGGGCTGTAAAACTTCAAAGTGAGCTAAAAAACATTAATTGATCATAAAATAAGTAAAATAAGTTTCTTTTGGCATGTTCCAAATCAAAATTTCTACAAATCTACCCTTGGTGACTTAATTTGGAGAATCTCTCTTTGGTCGAAGACATAACAAACGCCCATTTGAGCAGTTGAAGTCTAAATCGGTACAAATTTTAAGGCCGGTATTGTGACAACTTTTCACTTAATCTCAAATCCTTCCCTTTCGACAAATCTTCACTTTCCGGAAAAGAGCATAAACACTCTCAGAATAGTATCTTTAATTCTACTCGATTGGCAGAATATTGGTACAAAGTTCCGGAAGAGGCCATAGAATTAAACTATAAACTCTGCACTTTCCACGAAAACGACAGGCAAGGCCTTTAGAAAATGCACGAGAAGTTATACATAACTGTCATTTGCAAAATTTCTAGAATTTTCTACAAAGAAATGATTTTTTATTGACTTAATATCTGAATACAATCAGCAAGAGCGTTCGATTCCGCCAAATTTCATTTGTTTGCTTATTCTTTCGTGTGTCAGACATACATTTGGAGTAAAGAAGTAAGTAAGGATTATTCAGCCCACTGTTTTCCTTGCTCTTTCTTTAATTCGTAACGAAGCGCTTCAAATCATAAATAAAACTAGTAAAGAGCCATGTGTGTGTCACTGTGGTGTTTATTTTCATTTCCAAGAACCAAGGCTGAAAAAATTCATTAGCAATAGTAACTGTTTGAAGTTTGTTTGATGAAAAGGCACCGATTGTGATCATTGTGGAAGCACTCCATCATTAGGGCTTTACAAAATTAAAAAAGGTGTAAGCTGTAGCTGATTGTTGGAGTACTGGGACAAGGAAAAAATCCACCGTTATTCATTTCATCATCCTAACTTGACATAAATCGTGTCTGTTACTAAAAGTTTGCTTCGATTTCATGTTTGAACGATTAAAAAGTAAACGATTCAAAATATGGAAAGGGCTTGGGAGATGACATCAATTGTTACTTCATAAAGAAGGAATAGAAGGGGGAAAAACGACAAATCTAAAGATCTGCGTTTGGTGATGCGTTTAACCTCTAGATAAGGGACAAAAAAGTTAAGCCCAAACGAAACTTGTTTACACAAGTCAAATAGAACTGAATCTACCAATCCCTCAAGAGGCTCAAAGTGGGAAAAATATTTTAATTAAACTTTTCCACACCGAACGTTGAGCTGTAAAATGAAACTTCACGGCAGCTCGTCACAACAATAACGATAATGAGAGGGGACTTTAAACAGAAGATCAGTTTGAATACTACCTAAACAAAAAGGACCCGGCAGCTGCTCAAAGCTCACTGTTAAAACTATCTGCAATGTTTACATTGAGTAGAAGAGTAATATTCACCCGGGTTAGAAAATCAATTCATCATAAAATGCGCGCTGCTTCGCTTATCTTCTACAGACTTGGCATATTGATAATCATCCGATCTGATAATCAAGTTATAAAAGGACATATCCACCACCCATCAGCCACAGGCTTGCTGCTTATATAAGCTAACAGAAAAAAAAAATAATATACACATATACGCAAGCACACTTTGATGAAATTTGCACAAGCAGAGTCAAACGTAACACTTATCAAGCTTAAGAAATAACACATTTGGAGGAGGTATGACAGGAGAAAGAGACTTGAAGTTTTCTTTTTACTTGTGTAATATAAATACAAAGGTAAGGAAAAAGTAAGTTCGCACATCAGTCAACAGAAACCGCTACTGGAAAAAGAACGAATATTCTGTCTCCAAAAGCAGGTGATGATAACTTGTCACTTAAAGGTTGTCGAGAGTCTGTTTTTTGAAGAAGCCGCGAGTGGAATATAATATTACACGGTTTCTGGGGCGAATCAAGGACAACTAAATTGCTAATTGTTTCTTCCTTTTTAATTTATCCACGGATAGCCAACGGATTGTTAAATGCACTGAGGTTCAGGATCTGGCGAAGGAGTATTTGTATAGTACTGGCGCCTCGAGACTAATTTTGACTGCATACTCGCACATCTCACGGGTCTGTGGATATTAATCACGCGTCACGTCGACACGGTTGGGAAATAGCCGCAAAATCTCAGAGGTTTAGCGACAAATTATTGCTAAAAGAGGAAGAAAAACCTGGAAAAATTAGACTGAGGCGATTTAATTGAAAAGAAAATTGCCTGCCTTTATTTGATGAGTGGACTCGCACAGGTTATCCGGTTGATAATGTTTAAAGACCTTGATGGGCATGTCGACTGGTGCATCTGCCTTAACTAAATATCCAATTGAAAATTCATCAGATTTAGTCAGACAGAACATGGAAATTGGCTATAAAAAACAGTAAAATTGGCTTCCTTGCGTTCATCATAGCTGCCTTAGTTTCATTTGGACCAATCGCAGGCTGACCACTGACGTCAACTGATCGCGTTCACGGCGGTAAAGGCGACATTTGAAGCCTCCTTTCACAACTCCGTTAAATTTATAAGGGATCCGAACTTCAAGACATCAAGCCACCAATTTGAAGCGCTACATTTTTCTGAAAGTAGTCCCTTGCGCGCTTTCGTAAGGTGTACGGCTTAGATAACTACTTCTGGTTTGCTATTTAGCGGGATAGTCTTCACTGAGTTTTCACGACCGGTTGAAAGGTTACGGTTACAGCCCGGCATTATCATATTTCGTCTCCGTTGCAGAATTTACCGGAAATATTGGCTTTGGGATACACTTTTCGTCGGCTCCTATTATTTTAAAAAAATTATATAGTGGTGCCTATAGCGACGTAGAGAACAAAAATAAATTCAACGTTGAAGAAAGGAAATTGCACCGTTCGATTCCACAAGCCAGTTTGCAGTCGCCACTATGACGGAATACTTCTCCCAAAGAAACTTCAGCAATGTGACCTCGACAATTCCTCCGACACTACAGCCTCAAGCTGCGTACGAGGATAAGCTTGTGTGGCTAAGAGTTGTATTTTATGGTGTAATAAGCATTGTTGGTACCGTAGGAAACGCTCTGGTCATATTAGCATATCGAAATCCTCGGATGCGAAGTGTAACCAATCTTTTTATAGCGAATTTGGGCGTTGCAGATCTGACTGTGACTCTCATAAACGTTCCCATCACAGTGACGTATTCTGTACTACAGTACTGGCCATTTGGCGAGTTTCTTTGTAAAGCCATACCTTTTATACTCGGGGTCACTCTCTTCTCCTCCGTCGGAACGTTGATAGCCATCGCAGCGGACCGATACCGCGCTATAGTCCATCCACTGCTTCCAAGAATTCGAACGCGACATGCGATCATGATCATTGCAGCAATTTGGATCGCCGCGTTCATCTATCCAATTCCGTTAATAATTTACCAACATTTTACAGAAGGCCGGTGTGAAGAAAAATGGTCCACAGAAAAGGCTAAGAGGATCTTCACGGTTGCTGTGTTTGCAGCACTTTATCTGATACCACTGATCGCCATATCGGTACTGTATTTTTTAATTTGTCACAATCTTAACACTTCGGAATCTTCTACTCAGGAAGGTAAGTGCTGGGCAGCAAATTCCTGTCATTTCATAATGTAAGCGAGTAATATTTCATTCGTTAAGTAACGGAAAGTTTACGCGAGATGAGGCGGAAACAGATTTTTTTACAGATACACAGTTATTTGCCGCTATGAAAAGCCTTGAATGCAGCGGCCTGTTTCGGCGTGATCTGTTAACGTTTGCCTAAATACATACGGCGTCTGCGTTTACCAAAACCAAAACGCGTAAATTGTGAATTATTAACATTACTTTCAAACGTTTCGTTCTAAGCCGGATTTATTCTGAAAAGTCCCTCGTGCTGTATGTTTTTTTAAATACTGCTCCTCGAATGGGTGAAAAAGACGAATACAAGCCCAAATGTAAGCTTTCTAGAATATGTTAAGCCTAAAAGAAAAAATTGGGATTGGAAGCCAATTCAAAAGATCTGTTTGCTGTTTCTAATCTATAAACAAATACTCTAAACCCAAATTTGCATTAATGATAGTGGCTTTTCCACTCGTATTTCATACGAGGAGAACGTGACAGCTTTGAGATCTTAAGAAACAACAGCTTTTAAAAATCTGAAATAATGGTCTAAAAATGTGAAAACAGCTTTCAAAATAATGGGTCGAGGGATTAAAGCCACAATACTTCCGCTGAAACTACGATGAACCAGCCCAGGCGTTACAAACATCGTCTTAATTTTTCGGGTAACGAGGAATAGAAGTATTTGTAGTCCTACAAACATGAACGAAAATGCTACTTTCTTGAATGCAAAATCCCAAGCGTGTTTCTTTGAAATTGAGAGTAGGTTACATGTTTTAAAACAGTCTCTTTGTCATTTTTTTAGTTAATGGATTAATACAAACAATGATTCTTCTTTAACTGAAAGATGCAGATTTTAATCGATGTATTCTGCTTCTTTGTTAGTATTTTAAGGAAGAAATATCGGAAGGACAGTGTGACTGTTTGTGCATTTTGTTTATTTCAGTTGCTTATCACTGCATTGTAATAGTTGAAAGAGTAAAAAAAATAAATGAGTATGGATAAAAACTTCAAAACATCGATGTAAACAAAGCAATTTGCAGTGGTAACAAAAGAGGTAAAATATTTCCATAGCAGTCGAATTCTTTTTTTGCATTTACAAAATTGAATAAAAACATCACCTACTGTCGTTATTTCCGAAAAATATATTGTTTTTATGCAACCGGATTCAGTACGAAGGTGTTCACAGGAAAATGCAAGCAACTTTGAGAATAAAAAGAATAAATAAATATACATAAAGATAGCTTTCGGTATTAAAACTTCTGCTGATAAAATCAGCCAAAATCAGGTAAACAGAAAAGCTAAGTGTTCTCGACGAAACACCTTCAGTCACAATTTGGATTCTTCGGAACTTTTCCGAGTAAGCAGTCGAATAGAGAGATTAAGCTGAAGACTGTCATACAATTATCAGCATTATAGGCTTAATAATCAGCTTTTAATATAGAGACATTGTAGTTTTTCAACGGGATAGAGCCGCTCTACTCCAGATAGGTTTTTGTCGACTTTGCAAACGTAGAAGTAAAAAAAATTCCCAAACGTAGAAGGAAAAATTCCATTTTTAGAGCATGCAGGACTGACCTTAGCCATTAAACCCGTTTCAATTAACCTGAAGCAATATAGCCATGTTTACAATGATTGAAGTCGCAAACTAAAAAGGAGTTATGCACATTTTTGGCCCAGAATTTTTGTAAATCACCCCGTGTGCAGAAAAAGTTCCCACCATTGTGCGCACACCAAAAATTCCCGAAGGAAACTTCCAATGAAACGGAAATTTTACTGATAAACATCTTGCTGTAGCCGTTGTTTATTTGCATGACCTTTTTGAAATACATGGAGGCTTGCTGTGTGAAAAGGATCGCACGCTGTTCTTCCTTGAAAACGTAAAATTGTCAGAATTAATAACATTACTGACATTGACTTATGGGTTTTAAAACAAATGCAGGTTGCGCAATGAACATAAAACAATCCATTCAGTCGTCTATCTCCGATTGTTTTGCGTTGAATCTTCGTGACTCTATTTACTATTTCCTTTTAAAACTCACAATTTTCGATAGAAAAATCAATTTAAGTTGTTTAATATAACATTTAGATCTGACCGTCTTTCCAGTTCTCTTTCATTGACAAAAATAGAGGCTGTCGTTTGTGAATATTTAATTACTTTTCTTGCCTCTTAAAGATTTACGTGCAGCTAAAGGCGGATCAAAAAAAAAAAAAAAAAAAAAAAAAAAAAAAAAGAAAAGAAAAGAAAAGAAAATAATAGTAAAAGAAGGAAAAATTCAATTGATTTCCGAGACTTGAAACGGCGCTTTCGAGTTAAGTCTTCATAAACATGTTGACGAGTATTTCATAATATGGCAGATTTACAATTATAATACAACTTTAATTGGTACCGGCCATTACATGCGGCTCTATTCAACTGGCAATTGTCTTGAGATATCGACAGGTGACTGGCACATTCATCGAGAGGAGTCAGAGAAATTCAGCGTAATTTTGGAAGCCTAGTTCTTTATGTTCTTTTTTTTTCTGTCTTTTCTTTTTTTTCGAGAAAAGAAAAGGACAGCGTAATCTCTGAACTATAAGACACTGTCCTTAAATGTCAATTATTTGAGATTAAGAGTTGTGATAAAGGATGAGAAATTATCTGTCTCGCAAGAGGGAGATAAGTTATTTGAAATATTGATTGTTGACTATATAGAATAATATTTGATCTTACTTGGGAAGAATTTTTTCCTGGTAAAGACTCTTGAAACAATTGTTTAGTGAAGTACAATTGGTTTCAAAATATTTAAAAAAGGGTAAATTCATCGATAGTAATTTATATCAATGGCGACTTTCTCTATCAACAAGTTTAACGGAGAACCCCTTTTTGACATAAATTTAAACAATAACAGAATACTCAATAGTAATAAACTTCACAATCAAGATTTATTTCCTTTTTTTTTCTTTTTCGTTTCATTCGCAATTACTTTCTTAACCTAACATTTTCCCTATTTTACGTTACGTTCACTTTATGTCAATTTTTTTTTCTCAGGCCTAAAAGGCCGCAAAAAGTTGACTGGCGGTAAGTTTCTAAGTACTAAACCTGACAAAAATGCAATATTAAACTCAATTTAAATCTTTCGCGAAGCTGTCGGTGAAGGGCTTTTCGCTCCTTTAGTTACATTGTACTGTATCTCGTAATATGTGGCTGCCATACAGTGTTCCGAACGGGGTATAAGAACGATGACAACTGTGATTACTGATGCTTTCTAAGAAAATTGATTTGCTTTTGAATAAATAACTTTAAGTCTAACTAGCTGATTGATTTATTACGTTGTGTGAGTTGTACAATTTTGGCGATTCGTATTCTCTGTGTAGACTCATTTTCTGGCCACATGCTGCACGTTTTGCGTCAAAGATCGGTTTGTTTTCATAAAAAGACCACACATTTTATGGAATTAACAGTGTTCCTGTAATAAGATAACTATTCGATCTCTTAAAAAATTTTCCCAGTCTTTTTTTGCCCTTTAGTGGGCTTGGATAAACAGTTTACTGTGTTCGAGCTCTGCTGCACACGAAAGTGTGGGAACATTGATTTCCCTGCGCTTACAAACTTAACCAAAAACCTATCAGAGATCTAAACGTTAAGAAACAATGATTAATTCTTTTCGCGAGCCTATGTTTTCATTTAAGGGGAAAACTTCAAGTTAAATCGGTTTGATTTATTAAGCCTTTTGTTTCACTAACGCATCCTTGTCTCCTTTTCCGAGGCCTCCAGTCATGGTTTTCTAGGGCATTCCATACAATCTTAAAATCTAGGAGTCAAAATGCGATAGTCATTGGAAGAAAAGCCTGTATTATTTTAATTTCCTGCAATTATAGTATGCTTCCGAAAACATCTCATTCGATAATCTCTCACTGCCGGATGAGAAGGTTTTAAGACAAGAAAAAAAGTGGCTTTAATATAATCTTTTTCTCTCCTTTTTTTTTTCTCCTTTTTTTTTTTTTTCTTCAACGAACACACTTCTCCACTTAAACTTCTTGATTCAGAATAACAATAACGATATAAATGTAATGTCCTCTGAGTTTTTCAAGCGCCTTCAGCGTGGAACTTTGCCAACAATTAAATACCACGCCCAGCAAGAAATTGTTGCAGGGGTGCAGAATTGCTTGAGCTAAAAAAAGGAACCAGACCCCATGCAAAAGCTTTTGATCGCTAATGATTAAAATTAAAACCCATGCCAAGTAAATATCAACAATAGCTCGAAAAGGTTTTTAAAATAATTGAAAGTATCAAAAACAATTGATAAGTTTCCGACTCTGGTTTGAAAATAGTTGTACTGAGGTGAGAGTCCTAAAATAGCAGCAGTTAATGGAGTCCACTTTTAATTTTGAATTTGTGACTAATTAAGATTAGAAAAAAAGCTTTTATTTTTTGTGTTGTAAAAGGAAAATTGCTTTAGGGTGTTCCAAAGAAAGATTAGCGGAATGGATAAGACAAAACTAGAGCTTACAGCGCTATAATTTTTCAGCTAAATTATCTTCAAGGTTGCTTTCTGCCTTCCTCATTGAAGAATTAAAAGAAACCCTGAAGTGCAATGAGATTTTGGAAAATAGAGCAATTTTATGCAAAAAATAACAATAATAATATTAATATATAAAGGTAAAATGTTAAGTTCGCAGCAGCAATAGCCGCAGTAAATGTATCGGTTCAACTAAGTTGTTGATTCGTCCAAAGAGGCTGTTTTCATGACGGAGTGTTCTCTAAAACAGGGTGCAAACTGGGTTTACAAAGATTTCATATCAAGTTTGTGAAAAATCAATCATTTTTGTGAATCTGATGTTTCCAAGATTAACATTTTTCAAGAATTTGTAAAGAGATGAATCCTCTATTATCATTGCAATGCGATGATTAAAAAAAATAGAGGGATGTAATAAGTTTGTTGAAGAGTTAAAGATGTATCAAGGAAAAATTTTAGAGTGCCTAAAATGCTAGGGCAATCGAATGGTGCCTTTTTTTGAAAAAAAAAAAATCATGTTTTGAATCAGCTCAATTTTATTTCTACTGATCGGTGAAGCAAGAACAAACTTTTTACCCAGCGAAAGTAAAACCAACAAGCAAGTATGATCTGGGTAAACGAACAAAGAAAAAGAGTGAAGGACAAATATGATAAGGTACATAGTTACACAACTTCAAAGCCATCATCAAAAAGACACGTCTTCGATCATCGCCCCTACCTTATTTGATTGGAACTCGAGCATAAATTTGATTCTAATGACTGCATTTAAACAGTTCTTTTTTTTTATCCAAACACGTCTCCGTTATTTTTGACAAGAGCGAAACAGATCTATTCTAATGAACAATTTTTAATAAAACTGCTATATACGTTTGAATGAGGCTATCGTGGTTGAGGCTATCTGCCAAATTTATCTCTAAAATATATTAGGTACATGCATGTTTCATTTTTAAGAAGTAAGCAACCAAGCTGAAGTATGAAAGAAATCTATGACCGCGGTAAGTACTTAAAGCAAACAATCAGATAACTGTATCAGATGTGTTAATTCAATGGGAAAATGAACTTACCCAACATGTGTTTGGGTGACGTGGTATTCGGACATATGTCAAATAGTTTGTTCCCTTTGCCAAATCGAATTTGAAATTGTCTCCTTGCCTTTTAAAAATCAAATCTTAACATTTGCATGGTAATTTTCACATGATAGTCAACTTTCGCGTACGCCTTAACGTCCCCGAGCTTGAAAATAAGTTTCTTTCATGAACAATAAGGGCATCCAGACGCCGCTACCAAGCTAAGAATTACCCATTTTTTTTTTCAATTTATAAAAATACCATTTCAAATGCTACTGGTCTATATTCTAAGCATTGTAAATTTGAAAATAAAAACTAGTCTAGCACGTTCAGAACATTTCTACCATGTTAAGTGATTATTATTCTCATCTGAGGAATAAAAGAAGAGCATCGTACGAATTTATAATTACCGAAGAAACAGGGTCCGTCTGAACACAATGTAGAAAATAAGCCGTTTCAGAGCTTTCGCACAAGCGTACACAGCCGTCTTTGTGAACTGGGGTCTCAAGTTATTTAAAGAATACTTATGGCAACAGATCAGCCCTCTTGGAATTTCAGAGATTTCAACAAGATTTCAAACTCGGTTAATGGGATCTCAACACAACTGATGTTCCGGACTATTTAGATCAGGTTCTCTGTATTTGGCATTCATGACTAACTGTACACAATTCTTTAGTGCGGCGTTAAATTATGAAGTTAGTTTCAGCTTATCTCTGAAAAAAAAAAAACAACAACAACAAAAAACAACGAAATATTGATCTCATGATTGTTAAGGTCGCAGTGAGATTTTTTATTAATTGTGGATGCGAGGAACAGAAGAAAAACTTTAACTTTGTAGTATTTAACAACTTTTTAACACATGGGCCCGCTTGTTCTTCGTCTGCTTATTTTTCGCGTCTTTTCATAGATTTTCACTGCCACAAAACAACAATATCCCGTCTTTAAATGGCCTCGTGCATTCAAACCAAATCTCTTTCTTTGATTTGCATTACTTAAACTATCTTAATTAAATCGTAGAACGCTTATTAGACATATCTTATCTGACTTCCCTCTGATTGCAGTGTATTTTTCCCATCATATGTTCCGTAGGAGCTCGCCGAGCGAGGAAAAGCGTCATACGTATGCTAGTTGTTGTGGTAGTTCTGTTTACCGTTTGCTGGCTTCCATACCACGTGATGATGATGTACGATAACTTTGGTGGAAAAATGACGGGCACCGTCTTTCAGTTGATAATGTTTGGCTTTTGGTTAAGTTTTGCCAACAGTTGCTGTAACCCCATTGTTTACGCAGTATTGAACCGCAACTATCGAAAAGAGTTCGGTAGATTGCTAAGGTATGCATCAAATAATAAAGAGAAAAACAATTATATGAAACTACTCCACCTTTTGTCCTGATTATCGCTGTTTTCGCTATTCGGGATGAGCGCGGGCTCGCTGGTAATCATGCCTACCCCGCCATGAAATTTACACTCTTAGTTTTATACGTCTTTTAGATGAAAAAACAAAAAGGAAAAAAAAAATTCTTACAATGACAAAGGAAAGTTAAAAAGCAGCCTTTTGATTCAAAAGTAAGCCTTTTTGTCTCGAAAAAACGGCGGTTGGATTCTTGCTTTGGCTCAATGCAGGTTTTCCCTGTGTTCTTCCCTAGGTGTCAAGCACCTAAAGCCTACAGGAAGTCTGGCTCGCAACATGATAAGAACAGACGATTTTCTTTGGAAACAAAAACAAGTTACAAGATAACCAAGCTATCTCTGAATAAAAAGAATAGTACCAACGAAGATCTTTCAATGGAAAACAAAGCCATGGCTAATAGCGTCCAAGGAAACAGTTCAAGCGGCAACTCAAGCCAAGGACCAAAAGATGAAAAACTGCCGGTATGTTTTGAGACAGGAATATGATGAATGTTGCAATTATTCTCACTGATGACCAACACTTCTCGGGATAACTGATGTTTTTTTGATCGTAGAAAAAACAACAGAGCAAGGTGAAGAAGACTAAACCCATTATGGTTTAAAGTCCATGTATGATAACAATAAAGTTGCATGTAAAGACAATGGATCCTCTGCGACACTCGCGGCCATCACAAAGACATTGGAGCGCGGTTTTTCTTTATTGCTTAATTTTATCGTCGAGCGAAAATCTCACTGCGAACCAAAGCAACACGTTTAGGGAAAAAACAACGTTCATGTTAGCCCACGACGAGTTTCTTTAATTTGCAATCCTATTCAGGTTATGGCCCGATACAGATCTCAAGTCTGCTACTCAGAGGGAGCGAAATTTTGTCGCCCAATCAAGCACTGATTAATGAACTCACTGCATGCAGGAGTTAACAAAAAAAATTAACAGAAATTTTTGATAATGGTATTCATTTGCATCAGATAATGCTGGAAATTAACTGAATGCGACGGTACAGACAATATAAAAGGAATCCCGTCAGTCACTTCAACCTGAACGATCGGTTGTACATGCAACCGGGAAGCTCAGTGTTAAAACTTATGAAATATCAACAGGTATGTCTGCTCTCCTCTATCGATTATGAAGTCAGCTCATAGCCCAGTTTCGGTACACTTGTGAGCTGTCATGGAGTCTATAAAAGGCTAGAGACAATTTTGCAAATACTAAAAATATGTGCAATACAAAAATGATCAGTACTGAACTGAACAATCCGAGTAATTCACTGCAAGTAAGTAGTAATCCTTTTGAAATTTCACGGGCATATGCCGAGATGGAAATGTAACAGTTTGCGTTAGAAAGTGAAGGAAATAGACCATGAGTGTCATTAAGAGATTAGAAACTGTTTACAATCTCTTGGCGTCAAGAAAAGTTTACCTCTGCGAATACGAGTCAAAATACCACTTGAAATTTCCCCCTTCAAATATGGACAAATCTTTCGCTTACTTTTAAAGCTGTGAGCTATGACCACTGGTTTAGCACCCTCTAAACAGAGTTTCATATTAACAGCAAGCTACGTAAATATTTAAGTCAATCAATAACCATTTGACTACCACGTAGAGGTTCAGATTTCAACATTGTGCCATTTCATGACGAGCTTTGCTCACCAAAAGAATTTATGCAAATGAGGCTGAGGCGGATCTGAGATCCGCCTGGCAATTATTAACTGTAAGAGAAGAACTGACTTCGCGCCCACAGAACGACCGAGGTGTTGCGGATGAATTTTCACTAATTACTTTTTGGGCACTTTTCGGCGTCCAAATTGCATGGCGAGAGTAACCCAAAACCTTAAAGCAGACCCTTCTTGTCACAATACGAATGTTTTCCAGATAGGGACACGCGTTAATGTCAGCTCCACTCGCGTGATTGTATTTTTCAAGGTTAAACCCTCGCGTGGATCTAACAACTCAAGTTTACTTTAAAGCGCACAATGTAAGCCAAAGTAATTTTATAATTTAACTCCATGATCGAAATTTTGTTTGCAAAGGATAATAATAGATCGAATTCGACCTAGAGCGTCAGCTTCACTCGCGGGGAGTCAACCATTTTCTCTTGCCCCTTGCGCAACATAGAATGCAAATTTGCTGACCCACTCTATTGATACACACAACTCGACAGTCGTTAAGAGTTAAAAAAGATGAAGTTTTTTACCAAAACCATGTACTTCCGATTTTTTTAACGCTAACAAAAATGTAGTAATGGTATGTCCACTCCGGAAAATAATACCGCAAACAACAGCAAGCCCTAACCGCGATGAGAACACTCATGGATCACACAGCGCAACAGAACTCATTTTGTTTGTTTGTTTGGGTTTTTTCCGATAATATTGGCCTGTAAAGAAATATATAACGGAGTTTTTTTGTACCCTCCGCCGGCACCATATAATTGGCTAAATGCTAAGGAAGTAATATACTTTAAAGAGATCATTAAAGGAGTAAAATCTTTAAAGAAATTTTTCCTGCTGGGGTTTCCTGGCGCGCCACTGCGAACACAGCGAACCTCATGTATAAGGCTGCGAGAAAATAAACAAAGACAAGTAGAAAAAGTTCTTTACTCACAAATCTCTTTTACAATCTATGACCGATTTTACATCTCGTGTCTGAAACAAGAGTTGGAAATGTAAATGCAATTTAATACGTTACGAGAAGAGGTATTTTAGGCCAATCCTCGGTGTAAAAACCTCACAACTGACGTCACGAAACGATCTGCGTCAGTCAGTGGTAAATCAATGGATCATTAGATCAATGGATCAGTAGATCGATGGAACTGTAAATCGATGGAACAGTAGATCGATGGATCGGTAGATCAATGGATCGGTAGATCAATGGATCGGTAGATCGATGGAACAGTAGATCGATGGAACAGTAGATCGATGGATCGGTAGATCTATGGATCAGTAGATCGATGGATCGGTAGATCGATGGATCGGTAGATCGATGGAACAGTAGATCGATGGATCGGTAGATCAATGGATCAGTAGATCGATGGATCGTTAGATCGATGGATCGGTAGATCAGTGGACGGGTAGAAATACTGGAGGAAATCAGCCTGGGGAAGAGGTCTCTCTGTTAGCCCTGGTAAAGAGTTCCGGTAGAAAACATAGCGGTCACGGCCAAAGTGCTAAAGCTATGGTTTTCACTGTTTTTCTTGGTTTGTCTTACGCCTCGGAGTTCTTTAGTTAAGGTAAATAAGGAAACAAAGGAATTTATTCGGCTTTTCATTGAAAATAGCAACGGACAAGTCATCTGCTTCTCAAGTGGGCCTGTTCGTGCAATTCCTCGTGGAACGCGTGTCAAGAATGCAATTGGTGATTCCCCCAGTGCTTTTCTGGTACCAGATGTCTTGTTGTGGGATCCGCTGTTTCATTTTCCAGAGCTAGTCCTTCTCTGTCCGTCATGCGATGAGACAAATACTCAAGAGACCCTCAACCCCATTCGTTGGAAAGATGGCAGTAAGGACTACGACCAGCCACGTCTTCTCTATGGCTTAAGAAACGATGTGCTACTCGTTTTCCTGTGGGTGATTTTCAAGCATCTTATCCCTCTGGGAGGAGGGAAGAAGGTCATCCTTCTTCAAAAAATTTGTTTTATAATCTTCAAAGGGACAAGTTAAGAGCACCAAGATGATGTTCAGAATTAGCAAGGGTTAATGGTAGCGCTTTATAGAAGAACGTAGACTTCTGTACCTTCTTGAAACTACCAAGAGATTCATTGGTCAGTTTTTGAAAACACTGTTCTGTGACTTGAGGGCTGGGTTGCGAACTTAAAGAAAAACTGTTGTAGACGCGTTTTGCACTACAAAACGGCCCAGGTAGGCATAGAATTTTCTTCTTTATGTCTTCTTTCGAGACGTCCAGACGTATTGCTGAAGCCCCTTGTTTCAACTGCAAACACTGTCATAAAAGAAAACAAAACGGAAAAATTTTGGAGCTCGTAATTAACAAAATTAAATTTTGTAAAATTACCTAAAATAGCGTGACCTAGCCCCTTCAATCGAACATTCGAAAATCGAACCAAATCGAACTCAATCCCTGGATTTTGTCCAAGGATTCAAAAGTTACGGTGGAAAATCTTCTCGTCATAACTTGGTCTAGGAATGAAAACTGCAAAGACTTTGAAACATGATCTTCGCCTTCCTTTACGTTAAAGCTGAAATGCTGGGAGTCTTTTACTACGTATTCAAGGCTAAGCGACAGTGCATCTGAATGCATTCCTGAATTTCTGCGTGTACTAAAAACACGTGCTACAATCCCGGGTATACAGAATTAATTCGAGCCTCCAAGAACTTGATTTTGAAAGCCAGTTTTACCAAAGATTAAGAGTTCGGAAATAATGCAATGTCCGATTGAGTTCGACAAATAAAAAAGAAATGAACACTTACTGCTTCAGCAACTCCTCCGAAAGCAAGACAACATGACATGTTGGTCTTCCCCTTGCAGTATTTTATGTACAGCTCACGGGCGATTGCAGTTAATGTGTATTCAAAAGGGTTTTCCTGGTGGTGCTCTGTGTAGATATGTTCATACACCGTCCGTAAGCCTTTCAATGGACCTTGCTGGATATCAGAGGAACACTGTTCCATCTCTTCAATGTCCATTTGGTGGCGATCCTGGTACATAATTAAGACGCGATCCGCAAGTCCGTTGCGGCAAGCGACAACCTTTGACTATATTTCAGTCAAAAACCTTCGAGGTGTTGTGAAGGTCGCCATACACATACGCGCACTCTGAACGCCCACCCGCTTTCCTTTGCCCTTAACGGAATACCAATAACCGCCGTCGTACAGCTTGCATATACGCTCCATTGTCAGACAGTTTGCTCAGGAAGGTATAACCTTCATCGATGCCCATTCAGGAACACATTCCCCGGCGGCACTTTTTTGGAAGTTCACAAAAGGGTTAAAGAGACCATTTGACGACGTTTCGTCAACCAGAATGCTTCGATCAATTCGTAGCTCCAAGTGCGAAATTAACGGTCCCACGCATCCAATGTTGCGGGCGGGGGTTTTTCCAGCTCCGGATGGAGCCAGGCCTAACATTAACAGATTTCCTTCTCTTGAAAGGAATCAATCAGCTTTACTGTGGTGTTGCCAATTAATGCACTAGTGCATGGCAATATTCCAGCCAAGAGTAGCTCCGGTGAGGTACCGTGGCTTTTCGAGTATACTTTCAGCCATTCGTGGATGTGGGCCGGAGCAATTTCGTCCCATGGAATGTGGATTTCGGCAAGCTTTCTCTCAAGATCGCTTACTGAATTTACCTCTCCAAGTCCTCCAACAGCAGCCATTGTGCGCGAAATGAAGGACGCTCTCAGGGAAAACTCCAAACAAAATCCACGTGCGAATCTCACCTTTTGATTGGTTCGTGTGATGTTTTTGTCACGTTAAGCTGACACAATACCTTCGCGGGTGTCCTTCGAAAAAAAAAATCGTACGCGTGTTGTTTCGAAGTTAACTACCACAAACTATATATCAATAGAAAGGTTATGAACTGCAGATTTCCAAAAAAATATCCACTATGTATGTAGAGCCTTCTTTAAGAAGTTAGAAGCCGGTAAACAGAAAACGATCGAGTGACATTCCGCTGAATTAATCGGGTATCAAACACCATCGCTTCTTCAAAAGTACTGCACAGTATAAATCAGCAAGGATCAGTCTCTAAACGTGTGTCAGGATTTCTCTGGTTTCTTACTGGTTATCTTTTTATAGACAGGCAAAGTTTTTGTAGCGGATAATTTGCCGACCCTGTTGCGTTTGCGGCCGTAAAATGAGAAATATCTAAATTAAAGCTAATCCCCGACACACTTTTATT